CCCCCCCCCCCCCCTCATAAAATATTGGTAAAATTACTTTTGGTAAATTTTCATTAATTTTGGTGAAAATTTGGTAAATTTTTTTAGTGAAGTTTTGGTAAAAATTGTGTTTGAATAGTATCTTGAGTAAACAGAGATGTTAAAGGTCCGTATGTAAACAAAGCCTTTGTTTACATTTCAGTATTCAAAATATTGAACTTTATTCAACAACTATTTGTATTTTAATGCTTCTAACAGTATATATATACAACAATCAGGCCTTGCAAGAACATAAAATAAATAAAAACCTAATTAAAGTGTTTATATCATGGCAGGAGACTCCTATGTGCACATGCTCAGACCGAACTGTACCCTATTTTTAACAGCAATTAAATACTGAAACTCTCTAGCCTGCGAAATCTGCAAATCCCAACCATGTAATAGGTTGATTGCACTTTTATTTTTGATCGAACATTTACATAATACTAATCAACCTTATACTGTACATTGATCCAATATTCTATTATAGTGATCAACAATAATACTCTAATATATTGATCAACCTCTCCATGTTTATATTGTCACCACAGACACTTATCAAACCAGGGTGAGGGGAAATTAATTTGGTAAAATTTTCATCACTTGTGAATAAGTATGCTTGATGTGTTTGTCCTCACTTTATTGTATGCACACTTACATACTTTCTAATCTTTGTCAGGTTTTTGCGGTCCATATCATACAGAGACTTTTCTCAACTTGTATATGGAGCTCTAGGTAGGCTTAGAATACCATTACCAGCATGTGTTTACCAATCAATTCGAGCAAAATTCAGGGAAAATTCAGATATATTTACAGGCTTTGAAGAAGATACTGATTCTGACTAATAAACTATTTTATAATATATAGTAGAACATCAACTAATATGTAGACATCACTGTTTGCTACACTTGGCCCCAATGACTTTGTTTCTATGTATGACTATTAACATATCCCATTCATGTTTCGTTCATGAAAAACGTTTCATTTTTTATTTTGATCCAATCACAGCCCACCCTTATGCACCAATTACAGGGTCTTAGCCAGCCTACCGTCCAGCCGTCTTTTGGACGGCCATTTTCAAATTTGGACGGCCTGCTAAAAAAGACGGCTTTTGGGCGGTAAACATAAACATTGCTCACTTGCAAGCTGCCAAATCTGCCGAACCAAAGATTCCTGGACCTAGCTGCCAAAAACCGTAGAAAATAACTATATAAGATAATTTAGTTGCTTTTTGTTGTTTTTTGGTTGTGTAGTCTGAATAATTGAATATATTATTAGTTTTTTGAGCGATTCTCAAGTGCGGTCACCAATTACACCCAGCATTCGGGAATAATCACATTGAATTACTGGTGCATGAAGTGATGCCATGGTTCCATATGGCAAAATATGGATGTCATAAATGAAATTTCAAATTTGGACACCCATGCAAGTTGCAAATCCTGGCTAAGACCCTGCCACCAAACAATGTTTTGCCTGACCCCAGTGAAAGGTGAGCAAATACATGGGCATTTGACATTTTCAATCAAAAAACATTGAAAATGTCAAATGCCTTGTTTACTTGCCCTTCCTGGGCTCGGGCAAAACATTGTGCACAAGATCTACATGAGACAACACAACCATGCAAAAACACTCACAGCCACTGGACTGGGACAACAGTGCAACAAATAGTGCATGGTCTGTTGAATCATGTATATTTTTTTATACATTCATGAAAATATATTGTCTGCTTATTTGTATGACATTGCTAGACTTTTGTTACACTTAATGCTATTTACTTATTCTACCATGTAAAAACACTAATATATAGCCTGAAAACAGACCTCCATTTTGCCTCGCCAACC